CATTGCTCATTTTTCATGTCTCCTGCTTTCAAAAAACACCCAATGTCTCTGCAAATATAACTATTACAAACTATGGCTGAAATCAATAAGACCGTTACACTGTAAGACTCATCTTCATCAACTAGTGACAACAAGTACGAATTTTCACCGCCAGCAAAGAAAAAAATTACATTCAAGTATTAGATTAAACCTCTTGATCAGACACTCACGTTTACTTTGGATCGAGAAGAACTCTCTATTCGACAAGCAAGTACTTCATTTATAGAAACTGCAAAGAGACTTGGCCACGTTGTTTAAAAAAATTCCGTATTTTCAGCTACCGTTACCGAGCTCAGGCGATCAATAGAAGTAAAATGGGAAAGTAAATCTTTCTGCAAGAATCACTTTTTGAAAATCCTCCTTATTTGACCTTGGATTCGGATAGAAAACTGTTGTCCTCAGAAGTGTGAAAACTTTGGAAGACAGACTTGCAGTTCTAGTTACCGGCAAAGATTTAATTTTTGCATTTGAAGTACCTGTTGCCCTTAAAAGCGCTGGTGAGCAGATGGCTAAAGTAGTTCTTCGGGAAATGGACCGATTTGGGTTACATGACAATATCATCAGTATAACTTTTGATTACTACAGCATATAATACACGACAGATCCATGGGGTATAGGGTCTCGGACGAACATTCTTGTGGTTGGCTTGCTGTCATCACACCCTTGAACTAATATTGAAAGGAGTGTTGTGGCATACAATCAAAATTGCTGGGAGGAGAGAGAAAATAACTTACGTATATGCTCCTTTTAAAGGGCAACTGGGAATTAGGGGACCCAGTCGCCAAACCATGATGGTGAAGAATTATTATCCACCACATCTTAGTACATTAGATTATGTTTTGAAGCTGGTGAGACTGAAAAATGTGCAAAATGTGCAGTGTCATTGCCGGGACTCGAACCTGGACCTCTCGAATACGCACCGAGTGTGCGAATCGTTACACCAACGAAGGGATGCTGGAAGGTGAGAAAAAATACTTTATACAACTAGAGAATATGGTAAATTATATCCAATGTCCTAAAAGCGAAATTTCATCCAAGAAAAGGCTGTAAAGGGTTATTACAACTCTCACATTTAATGAACTCTGCTGGCTAACTCCCTCCAGATGATAAGAATACAGCCAATTTTCTGGTGTTCGTTTTATCACGAAACCAGCAGATTGATCTTCTCATGTGAAGAAAAAGGAAAAGAACATTATCAATGATTGTCGCAGTACCGATCTTGGGTCCTCCCAATTCCTCTCAAGAATTACTCTCAGCTGTGGCCTTCTTGGATCTGATTAAGTCTCCTGGCTCTGATGAAGTACATGGCCAAATGTTTGAAAACTTGGGCTTAATTGGCAAGCAGACTTTAACCATTCTTGGACCTGTTGGCGGCTTCCTAGAAACTGGAAGAGAGCCCCTGTTGCTACTATCAGAAAACCAAGCAAAGAAGCAAACTCCCTTCAGAGCTATAGACCTAACTAGTATGACTTGTAAACTAATGGAAAAAATTATTTTTGCAAGACTTCATTACTTTTTTTATCTCAGTCATCTGTTACCACCTGAACAAAGAGTTTTAGAAAACAAACAGTTTTAAAAAGGGTATAGTATCCCAGATCAAATCCTGTGTTTTTGCCAAAAAATCAGACATGCCCAAAACCTAAACCAACTCGAGATACCGTGGCAGCCCAGCTGCACTTATCTAAGGCCTTTGATACTGTCTGGAACGACAAACTTATTGTTAAAATACACGACACTTTCAACATTAGGGGTTCTGCCTTAGTTTGGATAGTTGACTTTCTGCACCACAGATCCATTAGAGTTAAGTTTAACAAGACCTACTCGGATCCTTTTAGACTGGAACAGGGCATTCTTCAGGGATATGTCTTAAGCCCTACTCTATTATCCATGTTTTTGGCCGGTATAGAGAAAAGAAAACCAAAATTTGTTCATATTGCAATCTTTGCTGACGCTATTTCTTTGGAATTCAGGCACAGATGTGAGTAACAATGAAAGGATCTTTTACACCACTTTGGTTGCACTCCCTGAGTTTGCAACTGAACACAAATTGACTTTCAATCCAGATAAATCAATACTCACCATTTTTACTACTAATAAACACCTATATAAGTACAAACCAAAGTTGTATTGCAAAGCTCAACCCTTCACATATGAAAAACATCCCAAATACCTAGGAGTCATCCTTGATCCTGAATTCAACATCAACAGACGTATAAACTATTTGGTTTCGAAGGCCCATAAGCGCCTAAACATCCTCAAATATATAGCTAGAAGAGATTGGGGAGCTGATGCAAACACTCTTAGAACCACATATATTGCACTAATTAGACCTATTCTAGAATATGGCAACCCAATTTATGCCTGTGCGTCTGAAACCAATCTTCAGAAATTAGAACATATACAACTGAGTGCCGCTCAAATTATTCTCGGACTCGGAAATAGCTGCCCTTCTGGTGTAGCTTTGTTCGAGACCAACTTACGGCCACTGTATATTAGAATAAGAGCCAATTTAGTAAAGTATTTCAATAAAATATACAGCTACGGCCCCCAACATCGTACTTTGTTGTATTTTCACACTTGGCACAACAATCAAAGACTCAAGAAATATAGCCCTTTTCGGCAGATACTCAGAACCGACAGGTTGTACCTCTATCTGTAAGATCTTTTATTCCAGCTGAGAAGGGTTAAATTACTTTTTTATTTCAGCTCAAAATACATTTACGGATGGCCCCTCTCAGGCATACGAGAAGCCTCCAATTGGGCTTTAACGCAAAATAGAGAATATAAAATTAATCTAATGCTAAATAAAATTAGCCAGCCGAAGCTGCATAGAATCACACTCGCAGAGTTGGCCCTTAATTAAGGATAACCGGCGTAGCCTAAGCAGCATGTATCAAGAACGGCCGTAGAATGGCGAGCTTAAACTAACAGCAACTACGTTGCTGCTCTCAGCATACAAATGTCATTGTAGATTGGGTAACATTCATTGTGAGAAGCACCACTTTATGTAGTAACTTCAGCTTTTTGATTTTGTTTATTGAAAATAAAGGAGTCTTAATATCATATATTATTTCTTTTATTGAAAGCCATAATTTATATCAAATGAATAACAGCAATCACAACTATGTGGACCATTTTTCATTCCACAAAAAAACACATTTACAAACATACACATATCTCGAAAATCACATTCGATACTTTCCAGATAAAATATTTAATAAATAAGATATAAACTTTGCACATAACTTGTCAATCTAAAAAAAAAAAAAAAAAAAAAGGAACCTTACACTCAACACCCTGAGTAACATTATTCCTACAAACACAATTTAAAAGCCATGAAATATATTACAACTATTAGAAATTTTCACTACCTAAAACAATCAAAATTCTCCAAGTATGCCTAGAAATAACATATATATTGTTTTAATATAACATGAGATTATGAAATTTGCATTTACATCACAATTAACACTTGAACAGATGAAGATAACACAAAACCCAAGTCATCAGTGCACATATTTAACTAGCAAACCAGCACTGAATATAACAGAATACCACTGAACAGTGCAACAATCATATACTTCATACGATCATATAGTATTCATGGGCCCTTAAAAAACCGGTAATATTTTAATACACTTATCCAAATATTATAAGACGATCAAAAGCACTGGAATTATTTTCCGTAAGAGATGCAAAATCTTTTATCTTCCTTTTACAGGTTTTTTTGGTGAACTGCTATTTTTATCATATGATATTTAATACTAATTGATAAATTAATGCATGCTTTTGATTCCTGTAAACATGAAAGTGAATGGCATAGAAACTCGCATTACTTCTTTGAGCAAAATTTAACTACAATTATTCAGTTTTAATAATATCTTAACAATTTAGCAGTATCCACATGGATATGATCTACATTATCATATTAACAAAAATAGGTAAAATAATGGAAACACATTGAAAACAAGAGGTACACTGCGGAAAAAAAAGAAAAGGGGGCGCAGTTCTGTATCTCCCGTTCTACTGGGCCGATTGACGAAATTCAACTCGCGTTTTTCATGTTTCGAAAGCTCGTCTTAGAATACATATTAAATTTATATATAACGTTCTTATATAGTTATTTAGACACAAAAATCGGACTTTTTCTGAAATGACATGCCACATTTTTTCCATATTTCGATTCTATGACTCAAATTATACAAAGCTACCAAGTTTTGTAAAAATCACACAAATAGTTTTTAAAAAATAGCTCTCAAAATTTTAGTTCCTCAATGTTAATTGAATTTGATATATATTTAACAATCTCTCTCTCTCTGTCTTTTTTTTTTTTTAATAAACTTACTTGATTCCTTCTTCCAGAATTCAAAATTTAGGCTTAATCCAAATATAATTAGCACATTTTTTTTATTCATTTTTAAAATTTGTATTATTAAATATTTTTATACGGTCTTCGAAAAAATGTTTGTATTATAACCTACAAAATTTTTAACATCTTAAAGTAGATGTATTTCTAGGCACACCTGCAAAAAATTAGTTTTTTATTCAAAATTTTCTAAGATATACATGAATTTACATATTGGAGCGTTTTTGATATTTGGCACCTTTTTTTTGATTGATAATAACGTGAAATGTGGCTTACACACTTTGTTAAAATTATTTGAAAGTATGAACAATGACTTTTTTTTGGGGGGGGCTCATCTACAATGGGGAAAAAAAAAAAAAAAAAAAAAGGGGGAAAAAAAAAAAAGTGCTATAAATTAAGAAGTTCGCCAAGTAAATTATTCTTCGCAAAAACTGGGGGGGGGGGAGAATACGCCAGGCTAAATTTTTGAATTTCTCTGTAAATTTCGCACCAAATTTTACAAAATTAAACTTTAGGCATAATATGAATTGTAGAATCGAAATATGGAAAAGAAATTAGCATGTCACTTCAGAAAAAATCCGATTTTGCGTCAAAATACCTATGCTAGAATGATGCTATATATAAATCTAATACATATCCTAAGTCGCGCTTTTGAGACATGACAAACGCAATTTGAATTTCGTCAATTAGCCCAGCAGAACGGGAGATATAGAACTGTCCCAACCCCCCTATTTTGCAGAGTACGTATAAATACGAATAAACTTGTATGGTGTAATCAGTGTTGTCTTAACCACTCCTCATAGAAAAACTGCTCTAATTCCTTGAGAGATGCTGAAGAATGAAAACTGTTTTTCTAAGTACAAAGAGGCTCAAAGAATTAATAAGGTTTTGAAGTACATTGTAGAAGAATGATAAAAATTTTTAAAAAATGATAATGTATAGCATTTAACACACATTTTTTACATTTTACTTTAAAATCATCAGAAACAAAACTGATTCTTTTATACATAGTGTTTCCAGTACTTTGTACAACATATTTTTGAATTTATTAATTATACTATGGATTATATTACATTACTTACTATATAATATAGCAAAAGCATTTCAGAAAACCATAAATAAAATAATAATAATCAATAAATTAATCAATGTTTCTTTTTTTTTTAATTAAAAATTGTTTATCCTTTAATGTGCCTAAAACAGCAATTTTTTCTAGCAGATTCCAACTTGCATTTCATTAATAATAGTTATAAATTGGTGATATTTCTCTAGACAAGAAAAGTAAACACTTTTGCTACATGCAAAAAGAGTATTGCACAAAAATCTCATAAACCTTGAGCATGAGACATAAAAGCATTTAAATGAAAAATCCTCTGCCAGAGATTACAATGCTTAATGTATTTACTTCAACAGAGATTTCGAAATAAATTAATTCAGCACAACAAGAGATTCCCACACTGATATTTTAGGAAACAATGTTGCACTCAGTGCTCTGCAAACTATTTTTAGTTTGCTTAGAAGTCACTTTTTCTGTTGTTACAGCTGAAACGGGTGACAAAGAAGGAGAGTTTTCATCATGAGTATTTCCATTTAGTGCTGCTTCAGATGAATCAGGACTATCCTGATTATTTTGGGATGTGGGACTACCCCTTCCTTGATTTGGAGCATTGGATATTCCATCTCCTTGTGGCACGACAGCTTCTGATATTGTTGGATTATTTTCAACATCAGGAAAAGATTCTGGTCCATGGTGCATTGAAGGCTCATTAGCTTCAAGAACTGCTGGCAGTTCATATCGGTGAAAGAAGTACAGCATGGAATGCTAAAATAATATTTTTTAATTCAAAAACACATTGAAATTACAGTATAAAAAATAACAATGAAACTTATATATGAAAAAACAAAATTTCAACAATTCTTGGTTACAGATAAAAATTTCATAGATTCTAATATCATCAAACAAAATTTAATAGTAACATTTTTATGTAAAATCTATCACTGATAGAATCAAGATAATTACTAGTTCTGCTGAAATTAAGTTTTAAATATGTGAATAAAAGTAAAATGCGTCTAAATTAAATTCTTACTACAATACAAGCATGTTACAGCAATAACAACAAAAATTATCAGAAAGAGTTGTTTTTACCACTTTGCAATAAATATTTTTTAATATGCATAGATGCTGATGTTATAAAATTCTTTAACTATCTTGAAAACTTAAAAAAAAAAAAAAAAAAAAAAAAAAAAAAAAAAAAAAAAAAATTATCCAGATTTGCTGCTTATTAAATTTTAACCAAATTTTCAGTACAAGTTTGGAAAAACTCATTTAACATAATTAGCTCAATCAGCTAATTAGCTATCAATGAATTTTTATTATTATTAAATCTCTTTATAAAAATAAATTACTTTTACACCATTAGCTTTCTTTTTTTAATAAGTAACTTAAAAAACTGAATTTATTATCCTTCTTTTCTATTCCCTAGTATCCAGGCACTGTCTTTTGTATTAACACCATCTATTACTCAGTCTCAAAGCTTTCGGTCAACACCTTATTAGCCTTGGGTATGTTTTAAAGTAATATGAAACTGTTTCAAATGAAAACCCAAATAGTTATGAAGAAAGTACAATAAATAATATTTTTTATACATCATATCTGTCATCTGGCATCTTGGTCACGTCTTACAACAATCAAGATAATTCGAGATTTATTTCTGTCTCATGTGTTTAGCATACCAAACAAAAGAACTCCTTACATTGAAAACAAAAACTAAAAAGTATAAATTTAGAAGAAAATGAATAAAAACAAAAAGGGTAACCATGGCACCACTAAAGCATTATTTTTAAATTTGAACATGTGATAAAATGGTGAGGAAATGAAATGGTTAGAAATACCAATTTTAGTCCCACCATCTGTAAAATAAAATGGCTAACTAAAAGAGGTTGATTGCATAATACTTGATCGCCCAGAAAAGGATAGCTGTACAAATACTTTTATCCATTCATGCAACAAGAAAACATTAACCTCACAGAAGTTTTTCCTTTAGATTTAATTACCTCATTACTAGCATTACCAACACACTCCCCGGTTTATAGGTATTTATTAATCTATGCACTATACATATATAAAATATGTATATATATAAAATATGTAAATATGCACTATACATATATAAAACTTATTGCACAAGCAATTAAATAATTGTCTTACTTGTATGAAAAGCCAAGATGTAGCAAGTGCAAGACTACTATACTGTCCATTGAAACGATAGTGGTAGGCATAAAAGGCAAAATGATACAAATAGAAGAATCTGAAAGAAACAAGTAATTCAAATTAATCTCTTCACAATGATAACAAATAAGATGCAAATAATATTCACTGATAGAACTGCTTAACACAGCTTGCTTGTTTAAGCATTTATTATTAATGTCTAATAAAACAAAAAAAAAAAAATTCAAGGCAAATTATCTTCAAATATTAATATTTACATATAAAACAATTTGAAAATAAAAATGATGATTGTAATATACAATGAAAATTAAAAATTATTTATACCATAATCTGATAATATAAATTTTTATGGATTACAAAGAATTTAATTAGCATGCTTCTGCATAAGTTTATTTTATACAATATACAACACTATTATCAACTGTATAAACTAATCAGGAAATTAAAAAATTTCACTCTTCTAAACTTTGCAGATTTGCATAACTAGTCGCCTAAAATAGCTATAATAAAAAGAGAAAAATAGATAATGATGTGATTTTTAAGAAAAAATATATAATGATGATTTTAACCAATCCAACTAGTGTATCCAGCTAGTAATTAATAATATGACAAAGATGAAGAATCGTGATTATTGATCTTAATTCACTTTGTTTTTAAATCAATTGCACAAAAATTAAATTTTAAAGAAAAATTTAATAGCTTACACTTTGCCGAATAGCAACATACGTGGATGAAAGATAAAAATATGTTATTTCTGGCAGTGGCAACAGATTTCTTTTAAACCGCTGAGTAAGGTGATAAAAATTGAAAAATGTCACTTGGTCAAGTAGCAAGTAGTAACATACTTCTTTTAAATCTCAGCATTGCTAACGAAAAGTTAGCACAAAACATAGATATATATGTGTGTATATATATATATATATATATTTTAAATTTTGAAATTCGAGATTTGAGAGGCACATGTTTGGGCGAAGGACAATTGAGCGTTCAGATTTTTGTCGTTTTAGGTGTTGCCGTTTTTTCCTCAACGCAACAGAACATACATACACACACACAAATTCATCATTATTTAATAAAATGAGTAATTCAAGGTGAATTCTGTATATTTTAAGACAAAAATCCTCAGTGCTTATTACAGGTAAAGGTTGAAGCAAGGTTGGCATGTGTGCATCCAACTAAGCGTATTAGATACTGCCAGGCCTTACTGGCTGCTAAGTTGCCACCTGGATGACGTTTTGAGGAAAAACATACCAGGGTGTGGTGAAAAAGTCTCCTACTCCTCTTCCTTATCACTAACCTCTCCAGACAATTTCAATTCCCCATGTACTCTGAGCACAGACATTATAAATTTCCAAACATCGATGCCTTTTCCGGAATTCAAACCTGGGCCCTTCGGTACGGTAGTGAGTGTCGCTAGCCACTATCCCATATGGAGGGTCAATGTTTTATTACAGAAATTTAACACAGATAATGAAAAAGATAAATGTCAGAAAAATAGAAAAGTCAGCAAAAACGTAAGTCAGATATCCCAGTTACAGGCCAGAAACTTCTGACTGGTTCCCACAGAAAAATGTGACCTACTGCTGTTGTAATGAATGGCAAGTCCTCTGCTTGGTTACTCTGTTCAATTTTCACTTTCAGATAAGCCAAACGTAAGATTTAGCCATTATAAATCTTACACTTTGAGCTGCTGCTTGATCATATTACTATCAAACAGCAGTTCAAAAGATATGATTCCTATTTAATTCCATCAAAGGCAGATGAAGCATATATTTCGTAGGAACTAGTTTTGTGGACTGTTAGTGACAGATTCTTTAGTCCGTTGTTTATTTATCTATTTTTGATGCTATCCTGCACCGTCCATTTCCAATCTCAAGTTTTGAACATAATTACTTTTACTGCAGATGGGTTAATAAATCACGGATCAATAAGTACTGAATTAGATTCATTTTATTCAATATGATACTTAAAATCTTCTTATCTCAATATCTTCAACCTATGCCTATTCATTAGTTATAAATTACTTCAGTTTGGTCCTTGCTTCGTTCTTTATTAATTATCATCTGTCATTTTGCATAATACATGCTCTAAATGAATATTTTTCAGAATGAAGTCCAGTATACTTATAATTGGTTTGATTATTACTTCATCTCTTTAAATAATACAATCCACCAATGGATGACTAGATTTAAAGTTGAAATGGATTATGTGCTCAGTTTCCAGAAGCAGGACAAACTGGATGCAAGTTTTTATGAATGATAGTTCATCCCAGGTTCCATTTTCATCCATAAGATTAGTTATCAGAGGTTTAAATACATTTTCTTCAATTTGTCCTAACCTCTCTTCCAGAAAAAAAAAAAAAAAAAAAAAAAAAAAAAAAAAAATTCTTTTAAAATGCAAAAGTTCCTGTCAAAATAAATAAACCACTCATATCAAGAACAAAGTTCAAAATTAAGAATCAGCGTAAATTTTTTAAAAAAATTTTTCAGCACTAGTTTGGATAATTTTTGAACTACCTTCTTCAACTAAGTGCAAATGAACCAAATAAAGGGTGAAGAAAGATAAGGATAAAGATAAGAAAAGTTGGACAGAAGTTAAGTTACCCGCGCCATCTATTTATAAAACATGAAAAACTAAAACAAAATTTCTTCATATTTCTTTATGTTCAGGCTGAACATAAAGATGGATTGCAATTGGTGTCATTAACTAACCCAGAAATGTTTTTTGGGATGTGAAACGCTTCTAAAAAAATGGAGAACGTTTCCTGAATACAATAAAATTCCTATTTCCATGCTTAAGGACATTCAGGATATGAATTCCTGGGGTAGTTACAGGATTCCTTGCCAATGTGGTTTAATTTATATTGGTCAAACAAAAAGAGCCTTAAAATTTCGTGTTAAAGAACATGAGGCATATGTTAGGAAAAAGGAAACACAGGAATCCTCTGTTGCTCAGCATTGCTGGAATGAAAATCACACTTTCCATATTTCTGCAGCCAAAATTATTCAGAAAACAGCCTCCATTGGTGAATTAAGTTTTTTAGAAGCGTTTCACATCCCCCCCCGAAAAAAAAAATTCTGTTCTAGTTAATGGACCCAATTGCAATCCATCTTTACCTTCAGCCTGTAAAGAAATTTTGTTTTAGTTTTTCTTGTTTCATCAATAGATGGCGCTGGTAGTTTAACTTCTGTCCAACTTTTCTGAGCTGAAGAAGGTAGTTCAAAAACTATCGAAACAAGTACTAGAACTTCTAATAAAAGTGAAAAAAGCCTTTAATAAAATACAAGCAAGTACATACCTGTATCGCTCCCTATTTTCCTACCACTTAAAAGTATTCTGAAAGAAGCTAAACACCATTACTTTATTAAACGGCGCAAAATTTTAAAATGGGCATTACCTGACTTGCGTATAGCAGTAATGGCGACGATTTATTTCTGCCCCATGGGATAAACAAAATTAATGAATGAAAGCAAAAAACTGTTCCCTGAATAGGATAAAACTGACAATAAAGTTTGATGTTAAGTAACAGAAACAATTCAATCAATTTTGTTGAATACTTCGTCTTTATTTTGAACCATAATAACAATAACGCTTATTATAATCATAATTAACAATATCATACACGTTGATTCGGGAGAAGAAGAATTATCGGAAGTCGAAAGTTTAGGAATTACTAATTGCGCGTCGGACAGGAGTGAACGTGATAAACAAATTATTAAGCAGTTTGAAGTTAATTTGCAGTAAGTAGATGGAAGGTATAAAGCGCATTTGCTGTGGAAAAGATGTCCTGAGATTTTGGAAAATAATTCTGGTCTAGCGAAAAGGCAGTTCAAAAGGGTGCACCAAGAGTTAAAAAAATTATATAACTTTATGATAGGAAAGTTATGGAGGTAATTAAATATCAAATCAAAATAAAGAGTTTTTATTCAAGAATTTTAAATAAAGAAAATAGTTATTTGATGCCATTTCGAGCAATGGTCCACAAAGTTAAAAAAAGTTCGAATGGTACTTAATTGCAGCGGTTGCGAAAGAAGAAAGCTATAGTTAAGCGATTGCTTAGAAAAAGATCCAAACCTACATCCGAATATTTTGGATATCATGCTTGCTTTTCGAAAATTTAAAATCGAACTATTCGGCGACTTTTAAACAGCGTTTTTGATGACTGGGATAGCAAAGAACGACAAGCAGTATTTAAAAAATTTTCTGGTATCCTGGGGAAGACAGGGAGGATTTTAAAATCACGTAAATGGAACAGAGTATTATTTGGATGCAAGTGTTCACCGTTTTTATAGAGCGCAATGATCAAATATCATTGAAAGAAATAGTCAGAAATGAGTAGAGATTGTGTGGAGATTTTAAACAGCTTATTGTATTGCAGACGATTTGTGTTATGCAGTGGAAAGTGTTGAGTCGGCTTATCAGAAGCGGTTTCTATTTTGGGAAACGCAATGTTTAATTTAAAAAAGCTAACACTAATTCTAAAGAGTTGCGTGATTTGTGCCTTCAGAATGAAATGTGTGAAGAAAGCAAGGTCGAAAAGGATAGTAAGTTGAGAAGAAAGAAAGATAAGTGTTGAGAAGCTAAGGTATTTGATACAGTCGGACTTATTTCTGTATTTGCGGTGCGAATTAAGAGACTTATGTAGGAAATATGGGAGAGAAGTTTGGACTGGGATTCAGAGTTGCCAGCAGAATTAAAGTACAAACTGATAAAATGGTGCACGAATTTAAGGAACTGAATGTGTTGAAAACAGAGAGGTACTGCTTTGCGGAAGTTCTAAGTAAAGATCATTCAGTTGATGTTCATATTTTCTGTGAGGTGTTAGTGGTGGCATATTTTAGATATGAGAATGAGAGAAGAGAAGTACATACGTCGTTTATAATGTCGAAAAATATGATTGCACCGTTAAAGAAGCAGTCACTTCCTAGGTTAGAATTAATGCGGGTGCAAGGTTGTGGACGTATTTGTCGAGGGTGCTGGAAGGCTTAGTTGATAAAATAGTTCTTCAGACAGATTCAGAAATATGTCTATGCTGGATTAAAGGGTCAGCGCATGAGTGGAAGCAGTTTGTGTCGAATA